CCCCAAACCCTAAACCCTAAACATACTAGATTCAGGCCCCTATCTAACCCCCCCAGCCCTAAACCCTAAACCCTAAACCTAAACCCTAATCCCTAAACCCTAAACCCTAAACCCTAAACCCTAAACCCTAAACCCTAAACCCTAAACCCTAAAACCCCAAGCCCTGCAATCCCTGCGGAACTCCTACAGAGCTTTGAAGCCCTGAAGTCTTATCCTCAGGCCTCGAGCCCATGGGTTTAGGGTTTAGGGTTTAGGGTTTAGGGTTTAGGGTTTAGGGTTTAGGGTTTAGGGTTTAGGTAATCCCCTCAGATTCTTAGCCTTAGAATCCCATAGAACCCGAATTAACGCCACGGAACCTATAAGAACCTGCGGAACCGTAGGTATATAACTCACAGGCCCGAAGAAAAGCTGTTGTAGTGGGTTTAGGGTTTAGGGTTTAGGGTTGGAGTCTTAGGGTTTAGGCCAAGTTTGTGTAGATCGTCGTTGTCAGCTTGTCAGTTTGTTCTGAGGTTCCCCCAGACTCTGACGAGCTTTCTCAAGTTAAACCCTAAACCCTAGTGGATGGAGAACAGGGGCGATTGCACTTAAATAAAACCCCCTAAACCCTAAACCCTAAACCCTAAAACCCTAAACCCTTAAACCCTAAACCTCACAGGCAACCTTACTACGGGAGACAAGTTGGAGAAGAACCAAGCGCTGCAGAGTCCCAACGGGCAGTACCTGGGTTCTTGGTAAGGATGTTAAGTTTCTAGGGTTTAGGGTTTAGGGTTTACCATAATAAGGAAACCGTAGTATTCAAGGTTTAGGGTTTAGGGTTTACCATAGTAAGGAAACCGTAGTATTCAGGGTTTAGGGTTTAGGAATGTTCGGATTCTTATGTAGGCTTCCACCAAAACTAAACCATGGTATTTACTATAGGTCCTTTTTGTATGGTAGCTCAAATTAGATTCTTTAACGCGAACCCAGGTACAAGCTGCTTGTGGAGGAAACAGGAAATGTTGCCATCTATAACATCTACGACCGCAAGACGTGGGAAACGGACACCGCCGGCCAGTGCACAGATGACACACCTTTCCTAACGCTCCAGGAAGATGGAAATTTGGTGCTGTACTGTGGCACCACCACGCAGGCTATATGGGCGACGGGCACGGAGGACACTATGCTTGTTATACGTGCAGTACGCACCTATCTAGTCGTGTATGCTTCTCCTAAACCCTAAACCCTCCATTCTAAAGCCTAAGCCCTTAAACCGAGGATACAACTCGCCAGCATTGCCGGGTGGCAGCATTGGAAGTCACAGGCTACTTCTCTTTGTACAATGTGCCGGATCTAGCCGGTGTCTGGTCCAGCTCGGGCACGATTCCTGTCGGCTTCGGGAGGACCGGGCTAGCAGGATTTCGCAGGATCTGTATCCATGGGCAGGAGTCATAAAACAAACACGGACCAAACAGAGGTAAACCGTAAACACATGCCTGCCTGCCTGCCTGACTGCATGCATGCATGGATGCATGCCTGCCTGCAAACATACGTACATGCATGCGCACCTACATTCATACATGCGTACTTGCGAATGTGCATACACACCTGTATCTAAATATATGTTCACAGACGCATGTACATGTATATGTATATTATATATAGGCCTATTTATGTGTGTGTATGTATGTACAGATGCAAGTGCATGTATGTGCATTCACATCTGTGAAACGTACACGGCTTTGTGTAAATATGTGTGTACACATGAATGTGACAAATGCACGTGCGGCTGCAATGTATGTCTGTATGTCTGTATGTCTGTCTGTCTGTCTGTCTGTCTGTCTGTCTGTATGTATGTATGCATGCACATGTGTATGTATGCGTGTACGTATGTATGTATGTATGTATGTATGTAAGTAAGTATGTATGTATGTATGTATGTATGTATGTATGTATGTATGTATGTGTGTGTGTATGTATGTAGTATGCATGGCGTATGAAGGAACGAATCAATGAATGAACGAATTAATGAATGAATGAATGAATGAATGAATGAATGAATGAAATGATATGAAATGAAATGACATGAAATGAAATGACATGAAATGAAATGAAATGAAATGAAGAAAGAAAGTCAGTCAGACATAAAGAAGGGAATACAGAGACATCTAACGAAAAAACAGCGAAATCAAACTCATGAAATTAATGAATGAATGAACGAATGAATGCATCAATGAATTAATGAACGAATGAATGGATGGATGAATGAATGGATGAATGGATGAATGGATGAATGGATGAATGGATGAATAGATGAATGAATGCCTGAATGAGTGAATGAACTGAAATGGCTGACTGACTGACTGACTGACTGACTGACTGACTGACTGACTGAATGAATGAATGAAGGTATGTAGGTATGTAGGTATGTAGGTCTGTCAGTTTGTATGCCGCATGTCTGTATGAATGTTTGTATGCGTGTATATAGTGCATGTGCAGAATGTGCAGATGGATGGGTAGGCAGATGAGTAGATGAATAGGTGCAGGGGTTGGTCACGGTTGGTCGACAAGTTTCCTACCTTAAACCGTAACCCTAAACTTTGGCCCTAAACCGACTGTATCTATGAAGACTTGCCCAGAAATCGTTACCTACAACCCGGAAGCTCAATGTGTCGAGCTCCGAACTTTGTTGCCGCTGGTATCTTACAGATTTCTGGGTGAGTCCCGAAACCCTAAACCTTGAACACTAAACCCTAAAACCCTAAAGCCCTAAACCCTAAAACCCTAAAGCCTGAGCCCTAAGAACTTAAGCTCACGCAAGCAGTTCCCAAGACGCGATCTGGACCTTCTAACCCTGAGCCCTAAACCCCAAAGTGGTTTAGGGTTTAGGGTTTTCGGGGTTTAGGGTTCAGGGTTTAGGGCTTAAAGCCTCAACCCTTTCGTGCACTCCGGGCAGAAGGAGCAATCTGACCAGTCCAGATGTGCTCTTTCCGGGCATGCGCCTTGTGCAAAAGACCTTCTACGACTTCACCCTGTCCGTGTCTGCAGCTGGGCATCAGTGAGATTTCAGGAACCAATACCCGACAGTTCTGTCCCCGAAGATCGTGGGAGCTATATCCAACAGTGCCAAAATTTTAGCTTTTGAATCGAGATCATGCGGCCCAAGAGAGCACTGCAATGCTGGCATTACCATTCAGGGTAGCAGCATTGCTCTTGCGAATAGAGACTTCGAGATAAGGGCTTTAAGCCCCAAACCTTGAACCCTAAAC